TGGTTTGTCTGCGAAGGGTCCGACCAGGTATCGTTCCCTCAGAGATCCTTCTTTCCTGGGCAGCCCCTAGCCGACGTTCTATTTGAGCTACAAATGGCCGACTGCATGAAGGACGTCCGCACCCAGCTTACAGAGCAAGGTTATGCCCATCTTCTCCCGCCACCAACAGGCAGGTCGCTGGCAGCATTACTGCCCGCCGACCCGTCTGAACTACCACAAGCCACTCTACCACTACTCGATATTTCGTATGCAGACGATGGGACCATCATCCTAATCATGCCTGCGAGCCAGCTGTATGACGGACTCAGCCAAGTTCTTGTATGTGTTTCCGAGGCGTTTGCCACCCGAGGACACAAACTCAACCTGGGACCATCCAAAACGGCGGCTTTGATTTCGCAGCGCGGACCCGGATCAAAAAAGGCTAGGCACGCTGCGTGGCACGAATGCGGAGGACTCATTGCGAGCGACTCGGGCCTCCTGGGACGGATCCAGGCACCCATCGTACACAACTACATCCATCTGGGGTCGGTGTTCGATGCGGGAGGTGTCATGACCCCAGAGATACGTTACCGGTCGTCGTCGTCGGTCGCCTCTCTGCAAGTGCTACGACGACGGGTGTTTGCCACAGACGAGTTGGATGTGAGAGAGCGCCTTATTCTTGCAGACAGTCTCGTCATGTCCAGTCGTCTGTACAATGCAGGGGCTTGGCCAGCACTCACTCGTGCCGAAGCACACCTCATACACGTTGAGGTCATGAAGGTGTATCGTGCAGCAGCCCGTGTCAGTTATCGAGAGGACAGTTCACAAGTCTCAGACCAGTTGGTCCTGGCACGTTTGCGACGACCATCTCCAGACATGATCCTACGGGCCGCCAGACTTCGGCTACTTGGGTCCCTGGTCCATACAGGTCCCACGGTCGTTTTCGGGCTCGTTGCGGCCGAGTGGCACGCAGCCACCGTTACGAACACACAAAATCGGACTATCCTGGGACTTTGGTACGATGATCTCGGTTGGCTACAACAGGCGCTCCCCGCACTGGGTGATTTACCTCTGCCAGCCGACGACTTTGCACCATGGGAGTCGCGTATTCGTCGCAGTCAGCCAGCATGGAAGCGCATAATCCAGGCTGGTTTACATGCACACGCACAGCATGCAGCACGTGTGACGTTGCCGCAGCATGTTGAACGACAGTTCTTTGCCGTGGTGAAGCCAGTCGGAGTGCCCGACCGAATCTACACTAACGAGCGCGGGCTCATCGTGGATCCCCCACCCCAGGCAGCACATCCCACGCATATATGTCCGTGGTGCAGCACACAATACTCACGACATCGAGCCCTTCGGACACACATCGCGCGCGCACATCGACAGCTGTCAACACTCGCAAAGGGATATGCATGCCCTAGCGGTACATGCACTACGTGCCTAACTAAGTTCTACGCTCGGGCGCACCTAGTGGACCATCTATCAGTGGGATCACCACGGTGTCTACTTGTGTGTTTGCTACAGACCGACAACCCAGCCCACCACCTGCAGCCACAACCCATCACCCAGCCACCGGGCACTACCGCCCAAGTGCGTATACCCCGACGGCACGTGGTTGTGCCCACTACCAAGGCGGCCGGCCCACTAACCGAGGAGGCCACGAACTACCTCCACCTTTCACAGCAGGAAGCACGCATGGCCATACTGGAGGCTGACCCCTATCTCACCGATGACGCCCGAGCAGCCTTCATACCACCGCCAGAGCCTATGCTAGGATTAGATGATGTGGATGCCGAGCCCTACCCACCTGTCCAGACAGAACGCTACCCAGCCCGCATGTTCCTACCCGACCAGTATACAGGCCTGGCGGCGCAGGCACTACCTGTGGCCATCAAGAGGGCCGAGTATTACGTCCTCAACTTGTTTTGTGGACGTCGGAGGCCAGAGGACATTCAGGCATGTTTAGAGTGGACACACTACGACGTTGATTTCACAGTCTCGGTCCTGTCCATAGACATTGCTATTGACCCTGTCCTTGGGAACTTGATGCGACCCCAGACCTTGGAGGTTTGGAAGGAACACATCCGAGCGCGCAGGGTGGCCCTCTCTGGAGGTGGGCCTCCCTGCGAAACCTGGTCAGCCATCCGATGGGCTCGGAACATGGGGCCCCCACCACTGCGGTCCCACGACGATTTCTGGGGCATGCTTGCCATTACACCGCGTCAGATGGAGCAGGTACGTGTTGGCAACGAGCTACTAGGAGCCATGATAGGACTTTTTGCCCTTCACCTAGCCGTAGGCACATGTTGTTGGATGGAGCATCCAGTACCAGCGTCGTGGCGACAAGAGGCCGTGAGCTCATTCTTGTGCCCACCCTTGCGCGCGATCATGGCATCACCTGCGGCCTCTACCACCGACTTCGATCAGCGCGAACACGGACAATGTGCTCGCGCGCCTACACGGATATTGGTTTTGAGGATGTGTACGCTGCATGGTCGCCTTTTGGAAACGCCTGGCCGCGGACGTGCTCACACGGACAGAACGCCCACGAAGTGCTCATGGGCTTCGACGGTCAAAAGAGGGAATGGCGGACGGCCAAAAAGAAGACATACCCCCCCGCGCTTTGTCATGTATTGGCCGACGGTATAGTGGATGCAGTCAATCATATGCGTGTGACGAGCGGTCCGCAGGCATGGCCAGAGGACATGGGGGAGGAGGAAGAGGCACTCCGTGGGGCACTAGAGGCCTTTTACGTTGCTTGGGACCCATATCTAGGCACGAACGAGGACTGGGCCCCCGATTTCGTAGGAGCTACGACGCGACGTCTGCGCGCCGATCCTGCAAGCTCCAGGTTCTCACCACCCGAGCTCACAAGGGAAAGGCCAGATGCCGACGTACCCGCGCCGTCGCTCGTGCATGACCCCAGTGCCACTCCTCGGCAGGCAGGGCCTGCTGAGGCAGACGAAGAGCAGGAATACGCAGACGCCACTGCCTTTCTTGATGGCGCAGCGGCTCCGTCACATGTTGCACCTACTTCCGCCCCCCCTCCTTTGCCTACTCCAGTCCAGCTCACGGATGCACAGCGCGAAATGATTCAACGCAAACGCGCTGAGGCCAGAGACAGACGTAAGGCGCGACTTGCTGCACGCATAGCTCCATGGACGTTGCAGCCAAATTTCGGCAGCGGCATCCTGGGCTAAGTAGAAGGATGGGTGGAGGTTAGACAGTGGGACAGGTGGGGTCTCGAGAGAGGGAGCTTCCTCCACCCCCCCCCCTGTTTTGCTCTCACTGCTAGCCGCTATCTCTCTTGCCGCACTGCGTTTCTGCGACAGTGAAGTTGTCTATGTGGCGTTGACCCCTACCACCAGATTTGCCAAGCATGTCAGAGGCGGCTGTTTTCAAGCATGCCGCCATGGCTAGTGCCATGGATGTTGCAGGTACAGCGGTTTCAGGTCCAGGCCCCTAGAATACTGGCTTGCGGGGACCACACTGGGAGTTTCGACGGGGCGCTGAAGTTTTCTGGCCGCACGCGCACTTCTATGGACGACGCAGCCGATTCTCGGCAGCAACATCTTACGACAGTAGAAGGTTGGGGGGGGAGCTGCAGGTCAAGTTTGGAGGAGGTCGTGGAGGGATACGAGCGAGGAAGCGACCTGCTCCTTTTGTTCGCTCTCTCGCTCTCTCGCCGCCAGCCGCCCCGCCCCTCGCCGCCCTGCACATCATTGTACCCTCCCTGCCTGCCTCTCGTGCTGATTGATCAGTCAAACACATACGAGGTGCCTGGGTGTGGGTCAGGTCCAGGTGGCCCTGGTAAGCAAGCAACCAAGGCCTGTGGGGCATGGACCCCCGCACACGTGTGTGCGGGGCGACTGCAGTCCTCCCCCTGTGACCGAGTGCGCCCCCCCCCCGCTGGCGCGGCCTCTCCAAGGCTGGCCGGTGGGGGGCAGCTCCGTTGCGGCCCCCCCCGCCCGCGAGGTACAGTGGACGGCTCGCCAGCCTGCTAGCGAGCATGCCCTCTCTTGTTGCTTGCTGCCAGCCTCTCTCTCTCTCTCTCTCTCTCTCTCTCTCTCTCTCTTTGAAGGGACGGATGCTTGGCGGGTCAGTCGGGTGGTTGGGCAGATCGGACAGTCAGCGGGCGCACTCTTTTGCGCACAAGATCATGCCATTTTGGCAGCTTATCGATTTGTGATTTCTTGGACAGGGAACAAGCGACACAAAGCCTGCAGGACCGCCGTCTCCCTTTGCGCAGCCTGCCTTGCCGTCCCAGTCCCCAGTCCTAGCGCAGACCACGATTTTCAGTCGATGCTATGCCAGCCTGTTCGGCTCTCGCCCTGCCGTACGGGTCGAGCCCCACGGCTGTCAGCTGACACGGCTCACCTGCGTGTCTTAGACCGCGGTGCGTCTCGTTCATATGGGGCGGATTGGTGGGCGGGATTACTTGGGATTGGGTACGGAGCTCTGGTACTGTGTTACTGTGTACTGCAATCCTTAGGTGCCCGTGCGATCCTGCATTGCCAGATGCATCGCTAGCCGCAGCGCCACCGTAACTCAACAGGCTAGTTGCCTCAACGAGCAGGAAATCCAAAAATCCTCCTCCCTCCTCCCTCCTCCCTCCTCCCTCCTCCCTCCTCCTCCTCCTCCCTCCTCCCTCCTCCCTCCTCCTCCTCCCTCCTCCCCCTCCCTCCTCCCTCCTCCTCCTCCCCTCCTCCTCCTCCTCCTCCTCCCTCCTCCCTCCTCCCTCCTCCCTCCTCCCTCCTCCCTCCACTCCTCTCCTCCCTCCTCCCTCCTCCCTCCTCCCTCCTCCCCCTCCTCCCTCCTCCCTCCTCCCTCCTCCTCCTCCCTCCTCCTCCTCCCCTCCTCCCTCCTCCCTCCTCCCTCCTCCCTCCTCCCCTCCCTCCTCCCTCCTCCCTCCTCCCCTCCTTCTCCCTCCATCCCTCCGTCCCGCCCTCCCTCCTCCTTCCTGCCTCCTCCTCCCCCGGAGCGGCCCACACTGCCCATCCCCGCCGGCCACGGCGCTCCTTCACGAGCTGCAGGAGGAAGGCGCCCGCGGCGGCCCCCGCGGCGCGGTTGTTCGGCGACGGCAGCACCCCTGCCCAGGAGGAGGGATTGAGGAGGGAGAGGAGATTAGAGGTCAAAAAATCCACTCCCATAATAACCACCTCGACACGTGACGTCGTTTAGTAAACGGGCCCAAAGAAGGAATCAAGCAGGGCAAGGCTGTTTAATAAACGCCCAAGGTCGTTTAGTAAACGCCAATTGTCGGGTCCGGGTGGTTGTTCCTCCTTTGGGAGATGAGCGAGGATTCGCTTGACCTCCACGGCTACATCCCTCAACAAGCAGGACAACTACAGGGAAAGGAGCCTAACACTCGTCTCTCTCTCTCTCTCTCTCTTTTAGTCTGCTGGGGGGGGGCCTGCCTTTACAGAGATATGTCCGGGCTGTCCTCCCAGCTCCAGGCTTCTCCTCCGTCGGGCAAATAAGAGCCAGCGTGACGATGCTGCCACCCGTGCAGTAGTGGTGGCAGTCCAGGGGAGGAAGGAGAAGGAAAGGAGGGAGGAGGAGGAGGAGGAGGAGGAGGAGAAGGAGGAGGAGGAGGAGGAGGAGAAGGAGGAGGAGGAGAAGGGGTAAGGAAAGGCCCCAGGGGAAGGGTGATCAGTGAGGAGTTGTGAGAAGGGTGAGGAGTGAGGAGTGAGGAGGGGTGAGAAGTGAGGAGTCAGGAGCGAGGGCGAGGAGGAAGAGGAGGACGAGGAGGAGAAGGAGGAGGAGATGGGATCAGTCAGCATCGAGACAACGACGGAACTCCCTGACGTGCTTCGTCCCTCTTAGGGCCCCACGAAGCTTATCGCCGCCGCGGCCAGATCCGCGGCGAACAACTGGCCAGGACGAACCCTAGGAGGGGTCCAGGAACCGATGGCGAGCAGAGTTGGGCTAGCCGGGAGAGCCGCCGATGTCGCAACTGGCCCTCGATCGGTCAGCATCGAATCGGGAAGTCGTATCGAGTTCTGAAGGCGAGATTGAGGGCACAGGACCGTCAAAATACGATTCGCGATGAAAAGCCAGCCCCATGGCGAAGGAGTCGAAAAGTATGGGGGGCCACGCATCGGAAAAAAAAGGCATCCGATCTCTGAGTCCGCCTTCCCCCTCATCCCACGTCCTCCTCCTTCAGCATAACTCTATTGCTATCTCGGCTTGCTCTCGCACTGCTGTCACATTCCCAAGCACGTCTAGCACAAAGCTATCGCTACACCGAATGATACATACGTCCTCTAGGCCTCCCTCCTCGTGCCCCCATCCACCCCTCTCTCCTCCCCATCCGCCCCCTCCCCCTCCTCCTCCCCCTCCCCCGTCTACTCCTATCTTCATCCCCCTCCTCCTCCTCCTCCTCCTCCTCCTCCTCCTCACCACCACCACCACCATCATCATCATCATCAGCATCATCAGCATCATCATCATCATCAGCATCATCAGCATCATCATCATCATCGTCGTCATCGTCAGCATCATCAGCATCCTCAGCATAATCATATTCATCACAATCATCATCAGCATTAGCATCATCCTCATCAGCAGCAGCAACCGCATCAGCATAATCATCATCAGCATCATCATCAGCAGCAACATCAGCATCTCCATTATCGTTATCATCATCCTTCTCCTCCTCCTCCGCCTCCTCCTCATTATCCTCTTCCTCCTCTTCCTCATGCTCCTCCTCCTCCTCCTGCTCCTCCTCCTCCCTCTCCTCCTCCTCCTCCTCATCCTCCTCCTCATCCTTCTCCTCCTCCCCTCCTCCTCATCCGCCTTCTCCTCATCCTCCTCCTCCTTCTCCTCCTCGCCCTCCTTGTGGTCATCCTCCTCCTCCTTCTCCTCCTCCTCCTCGTAGTCATCATCACAACCATCACCATCGTCACCACCATACCCCACCACCACTCCCGCCACCATCATCATATCAATCCACCCGTACACAGTACCAGCATCAGCATCATCACCACCGTCACCATGACAATCAGCATCGTCATTATTACCATCGTCAACAACATGAACAACATAGTCGTCGTCGGGGTCGGAGTCATCAGCATCGTCATCCAAATTACCACCAGCATCCACGCTAGCATCACAAGCATCCTTATAAACAGCCATTCATCCATCATCAACATCAGCCTCCTCGTCGTCCTAACCATCATCATCATCAGCATCATCATCATCATCATCAGCAGCAGCAGCATCATCATCATCATTATCATCATCATCATCTTCATCATCATCATCATCATCATCAGCATCATCATCATCATCATCATCATCATCATCATCATCATCATCATCATCATCATCATCAGCAGCATTATCATCATCATTATCATCATCATCGTCATCATCAGCAGCAGCACCATCTCCATCATCACCGTCATCATCAGCAGCATCAGCAGCATCAGCATCATTAGCAGCAGCATCATCATCATCATCGTCGTCGGCATCGTCGTCGTCATCGTCATCATCATCCACCCCCGATTCGTCCTCACACCTCCTCCTCATCATCATCATCATCATCATCATCATGTTGTTGTTAGTGTGTTGTTGTTGCTGTTGAGATCTCATTCCTAAAAACCAACGCTTGTTGACCCCACCCTTCCGGCAACCGCTGCACTTGGCGAGTAAACTGTTCCTTCCGGGGCTCGCACCTCGTCTTGCTTCAACAAGGACAATGTGGGGTCACCAAACTGTGACCGTGGCCCCCGGATTACAACAACAATACCAACAGCAACAAACATCAAAAACAACAGCAACCACAACAATCATTTTAAGACTGCTCATTCTTATCTGCTCGCGTACCTTCGAACCCCGTACCCTCGATACCCGCCCTCTTCGTCCTCGACCGTACCCCCTTGGGGGTATATCTTTCTTACCTGCGACGTGTATTTCGCGCAGCCCCTGAAGCAGGGGAAGAGAGGACGGATGGAAGGAAGGACATGGGGGAAGGAGGAGGATGGAGCTCTGGCTAGCAGCAGAAAATACGCGGCAGAACCAGACGGGCAGATCGGGCGGGTGCACCCTACCAGGCGGGTCGGGAAGGAGGTCCGAGGCTGCCAAGTCGAGCAGGCGGGTTGCTGAAGCGTACGTCCTGCATGAATCGCAAGGAAGTCTCGAGCGACAGTTCGATTCCCAAATCAATCGTGAGGAAATCCACAGCGAGAGCGTGACTCCTGCATGTCGAGGGCGCGGCGTCTGAATAAATTGGGTGGAAGTCCCAAGCGAGAGCGCGATTCCCGAATAAAGAGTGAGGAAGTCCCTCGCGAGAGCGCGATTCGGAAATAAATTGTGAGGGAGTATCAGGCGGGAGCCGTTGTTGATGTAAACCGTGGGCAAACAACACGGTTTGAAGAGGAAGGCTTTCCCTGATAAAAAAACAGGGTGCGAGCGCCGGGAGGGGCACTTCAATTGGAAAAATACAATGTGCAACGGAGGGGGGGATCAACAATAATCTTCAATCGTGAAACTTTAACAACGACGGCTCCCCCCCGACACTTCCTCACCATGTATTCCGAAATCGCGCTCTTGCACGGGACTTCCTCGCAATGTATACAGGAATCGCGCTCTCGCGTAGGAATTCCTGTCAGTGTATCCAGACGCCGCACCCTCGACACTCAAAAATCACACTCTCGCTGTGAACTTCTCACGATTTGTTTGGAAATCGCGCTATCGCTCGAGACTTCCTCGGGAGTCATGCAGGACGCACGCTTCAGCAACCCGCCTGCTCGACCTGGCCGCCTGGGCCAGCCTTCCCGACCCGCCCGTTAGAGTGTACCGGCCCGGTCTGCCTGTCTGGTTCTGCCACAAGTGTTCTGCTCCTCGCCCCCCTCCTGCTACTCTCTCTCTCTCTCTCTCTTTCTCGTGCTCCATCCTCCTCCCTCCCCCTTGTCCCTTCCTTCCATCCGTCCTCTCTTCCCCTGCCTCAGGGCCTTGCACGAAATACGCGTGGCAGGTAAGAAATATATACCCCTAAGGGGGTACGATCGAAGACGAAGAGGGCGGCGATCGAGGGTTTGGGATCTACGTGTTGAATGGCACGCGAACAGATAAGAGCGAGCACACTTAAATGGTTGTCGTTGTGGTTGTTGCTGTTGTTGGTGATGTTGTTGATGTTGTTGCTGGTGTTGGTGTTGTTGGTGTTACTCCTGGTGTTGGTGTTGTTGTGTATGCTGATTTGATGTTGCTGTTGCTGTTGATGTTGCTGGTGATGCTTTTGGTGGTAATGATGGTGGCGCTGTTATTGTTGATGTTGTTGTTGCTCGTCCTCCCTCTCCTTCATCATCTGCATCCCCAATCCTCCTCCATCTCCAAGACAAAAACAAGAAGAGGATTCACAGGAGGATAAAGAGGAGGAGCCAGGGACGGAGGAGGAAGCAGGAGGGGAACGGAGGAGGAGGAGGAGGAGGAGGAGGAGAAGGAAGGAGGCGAAGGGAGGCTCAGGAGACCGAGGAAAACCATAACAAAATGCGCACGCACACACAAACACACACACACACACACACACCAAAAGAGGCGGAGGACACGAAGGCGAGAGAGACGGAGACCCCCTGGCAGCAGCGGCGGCGGCGGGAAACTAGGGGCTAATGAACGGAGCCGACCAGTCCAGGAAAGCAGCATCTACGCATGCCGACCTAACTGCACACACACAGACACATACATACATACATACATACATGCATGCATGCATACATGCATGCATGCATACATGCATACGTACGTACACATACATACATACATACATACATACATACATACATACATACATACATACATACATACATACATACATACATACGTACATACATACATACATACACACATACATACATGCATATATATATATATGCATACGGACATTCATGCATCTGAAATACATGCATACATACATACACACATACGTGCATACATACATACATACATACATACATACATACATACATACGTATATACATACATACATACATACCTACATACATACATACATACATACATACATGCATACATACATACATACACACATACATACATGCATATATATATATATATATGCATACAGACATT